TAGATCTAGGCTATAACGGTGAACGCGCACCGGGTGAGAATAGCCAAAAGACTTGCCTGCACTATTCTCACCCCGGGTGAGAATAGAGGTGGCCTTTTAAAAGAAAAAATAAGACCCACACACGCGCGCACTCACACACTCACACACAGACACACTCACTCACAGACACACAAACACACACCACACACGCTTTGGCCTTATACTTATACATACACTCACACCACACACACACCAAACAAAGACAGTCGCAGCTCTTTTCTTGCTGTTGTTGCCCCTGCCCCTAGTGTGCGACAGAGTGACGCTGTGACAATTAATGTGGTGTTAATTGCGACAGAGTGTGTCAGTGACAAAAAAAAGAATTTGGGTTTGAAAGAAAAAAGAATAACAAACACACACACATGCACTCACACACACACGCACAAATACACATACACACGCACACACACTCACACACTAGATCTAGATTCTAGATCTAATCATCAACTCAAAAGAGCTCCGTGTTCACTCTGTCGCAATTAACGCCACATTAGTTGTCACAGGGTCACTCTGTCGCAATTACTCTATGTACCTTAAATATTATCCCAATGATAGGTCACGTTTTGCTCTAACCGGCCACTCTTGAAACTTGTGGTGAAGGAGAATGCTACTTTTCTTTGTTTAATCCCATATTTAACCCTTAGAGTGCTGACCGCAACCGCTGGTCGCGATAGAACATTGGCACAGTATAACGCGATGTACGAAAAGAACGAAGTACTAATTTTTATACTGCTGGCTGGTAGGCTACGTAGAATTGATTTTGGCCGCCATTTTTCTTGTCACTGGGTTCGATCGAGGCGCGAGGAGTTTTTTGCTTCACGTTGAAGTCAAGTGATAATGAAGTCGGAAAATTCGCGATTGCGACCCGCAACAAACATGAAAATAGTGTCGCTTCAGATGAAGATGTTCCGCGTATTTTCCTTGAATTGGAAGATGATTTCGAGGGTTTTGATGCAAGGGCTAACACTTTGTGGAATTACGTAGGCTTACGAAGCATCTAGATTTCTAGACAGGGGTCTAGATCTAGAGATCTAATGAACCGGCAGTTTTTATTCAGTCATTTCCAACACCACTACTACAACAATAACTTCACAAAATACTATTTGCTTTACATATTCACAAAAAACTTTCAATATTCTAAAACTTTTATTCTTACCTTCATTAGAAATTTTCACAAATAAAAGTTCTTAGCAAAAAAAAAGCGTATGTGCAAATCTGCCGTTTTCCCAAAATAAATTCAGCACTGAGGGAAAATATAAGGGGAAAAAAGTCAGCGCTCTAAGGGTTAAGAGATCACCAGTTAGTTAAGTTTTGGATGTATTTAGTTATATAACTCTCAGCACCAGATGGGTCTATCATAGTAGGCAACCCATCTGCCCGGGCATTGCCAATTCCTGGGTTTTGAAGCTCAAACATGCACAAAACGCAGTCGCACACACACACATACACCCACTCAAACATACACACATTCACTTCTAGATCTACATATATACACACATACATACACACCATACCATTATACCACCTTACACACTACAAACATACACGAACACTATACCAGATCTATGTCTACAGTCACACAAAGTATACAAGTAGAACTTTTTAATTTAATTGAAGTGATTATTTCTCCGAACGGTTTCTGATCTCGAGATTTTTTGGTTATTTGCGAGATTTAGGCGTCATCCTTTCATTCTGCCTTTCTGCGAGGACTGGGAGGAAGCTTTTTTTTGCATGGAATTCAATTTCTAGAGCTAGAGGTTTTAAATTGTCTGAATTTTCAGTTGTGGTTGGGGCAACGTTCCCAGACTATACTTCATTTGAAATGACCTTCAAAAGGTACTGCGAGAAAACAAGACTGCTCGACCTTGGCAGTAACCTATTTTGCATTAAGTCACCCAACAAAAACAAATCTTTCATGTAAAAAAAAAATCCTACACATGCACACTCACTCACACATGGGCCACTCCATTCGCTTAATAAATTATCTACAAATCTCGAGAACGGAAACCGTTCGGAGAAATAAAATTCAAGTTTATTTTCCCTAACCTTCGGAGAAATAGAGCCGGCCTAATTTAATGCTCATGTACACACTCATATTCACGTTGTAATGTGCTAACAAGCTCTGCAAACATTTATTCTTAGCTCTATAATATGTAAAATACTCTTTAAGCACAAGAAAATCTGCCCGGCCGGTTTGAGCAAAATCACGAAAATTGTGCTTGCTCAAGCCGGCCACCCCACTATGGGGGTTAAAATGAAAGGGAAACACCGCCCAGTGATTCGCAGGTTCTTCTGACATGCCTGTTCTGACTTTTGAACTCTCAATTGATCTGGAAGCTATCGTAACAAAAGCCCGGCCTCCCTAGCAAACGACTTCCTTTCACTCACTGTAACCCACAGGCAATGGGGGAGGGACTTACGTTTTGGGAGATTCTTAGCCGAAAATAATGACACCCTCATGGGAGGGAAGTTCCTTTCTAGACGACATTGACAGGAGTTCAAAATCATCCAACATTAAATAAAGATAAACAAAGCGAAAGTAGACGTCAGTGCCGGTCATGGCAGGTTTGAGCAGGTGACCGGTTCGACCTCAATTGACTCTAGCGTTAATTGCGACAGAGTGATACACAGTGTTAATTGCAACAGAGTAACTCTGTGAAAATTAATGCGGCATTAATTGTGACAGAGTGAGTCTGTGATAAAAAAAAAAGAAGTACAGAAAAAAGAATAAAAGCAAACACACACACGTGCAATCACAAAGTACTACTGAAAATAATAATGCTTCTTTCCGCATTTGCTATTTGCAAGTGGAAGGTTTCCTTTGTATTTTTGTATCCTGCTGTCCATGCTCAGGATCGCCCTTTAACTGTGGTAGTACTGCAGTGGTGTAATAAAAATATTAGCTTAGCACTGTGCCGCCATGATTTTCACCAGATGATCATATTGGAATCGTAATTTGCATTTTACCAATAGTGTATGTGGCGGAAAATTTTAATTGCTGTGAATATGTAGAAAAATTAACAGTCTCCAACTTTACATGTGTACCCTTTGTTTGTAAAAAAAAAAAGTAGAGACTGAAATTGGTAGCTAATTCGCATTGTCTTCTGTTTTCCAGATTGCTCCTCCCAAATCGAAAAAGAAAAAACTTAATGGTGATTCAGCTGTATATCAAGATGATTTGAAACTGATTGCATTGGGTACAACAGCAGGAACTGTCAATCTTTATAGTTTTGCCAAAGGACTCCTGCATTCGCAGTTGGTAAGCTTTTTTTTTATTACTTTTGTTTGTTTGTTTGTTTATGTTGCTGGCTACTGAAAGAAGTAGCTACTGTAACCATAGGTCCTGTTATGTTTGAGTTAGGCTTTTTCATTCTTTCCTTTGCACTAATTGATATTCTGTTGAACTCCATTAATTTTTGGTGAAATGTTACAGGTTGTGGTTATTCTCAAAGAAATTCTTGGGGTTTTTTTGGAACTACAGCACTTGCTAACTGCTTTTCTTTTTCTTTTTAAAGAAATGTTAAAATGGGTATGAAATGTTATTTCAGAAAAGAAACCGTTAACCTGCGTTGTTCGTGAAAATGAGAGCTGTATCTTCTTCGAACTGCTTACACATTCTCTTTTCTTATTAACATAGTTATTGTTAAAATAATGTTTCATATAAATATACTTTTGGATGATTTATCATGTGTTTGTTGATCCTGCAGTGTATGGGGTTTTACCCTTCAATCCAAATTTCATACATTGACCATGTTGTGTGTATCACAGTTCAATGATTAATTTTCATGCTTTTTACAGACGGGAGGACACTCTCTGAAGATCAATGATGTCTGTTTTCACTTGTCAAATCCTGAGCTGTTCACGTGCTCAGATGATCAAACAGTTTCACAGTGGGATTTGCAGAAAGGAAAAGTGAAACAGTATGTAAAATTCTCTCCCCACACTTTTTGTACCTCTCTTCTCCTCTTTCTCTCTTTTTTTTTTTTTTAAATTTAAAAAAAAGTGTTCCAGGTTACATCTCAGGGGTGGCCAACAAGATTTGTCAATTCACACTGCAGCTGAAGTTACATCCTGTCCATTTTGTCATGTGATGAAGGTTGTTGTGTTGGGTGAAATGAAGGTTGTTGTTTGTTGTGGGGTTGTTGGGTTGTTTTTTTTTGGGGGGGGGGTTCAACACATTGTTATGACTTCTGTGTGTATGCCTAAGTTTTCTGCATCCCTGTAAAAGCTTTTTTTTGGGGGGTACTATTTAAAGATTTAAAGAAAAGTAATGATTTCTTGAATATTTTCCTCAGCAAATGGAAATGTGACTCTTCTAGCATCCACTCCATCTGTCAGTGTTCTCGTCAGCATTTGCTCACAGCAAGTCACACTATTAAATTATGGGACTTGACCACGAGGACTGTGTTACAGGTATGCTTATCCTTGATGCAATTTTTGTGATTAGATTTTTCAGATACACTCTTAATTTTGGCTGTCATTTTATATTTAGATTTTTTCCTTTCTTGTGACAGGTGATAGAAAGCACCACAGGTAGTTTCTCCTTCTTCCCTTCCTTTCTGCTGTTTCTGTATGTCTTTCCTTTTCCCGGCACTAATTGATAGATATTGTGTTGATATTCTTCTGTTACACAAACTTAAACCCTTTCTAGTACACTTTTGAAACTTGAGTGAATTTGTTAGCATGAGTCTCAACACACTCCCCTCCCTCAAATTTGGTGCATTAGGTTTCCTCTGATCTGATAAATTGTTTTTAAAACACTACCACTGCCTTTTTTTTTCCCCCATCAGAGTTGGGGGTATATCACCACATTTTTCAATATCTAGGAGTTGTGGTTTTTGGCTTTTATCCAGTTTTAACATGTTAATTTGTAGGCATTAAAAGTTGATTATGTACAGGCAAATTGTTGATGAATGAAATGCATGTGTACTGAAGTTGTTATCCAGCGTGTGATGAATAATAATATGTAATCAACTTTTCTTATTTGTTTCCAGACGTATACAGGTCATTCCTCACCAGTGTTCCGACTGTTGCCAGTTTACCTTGGAGCAGATGCTTCAAACGAAGGAGATGCATCTTATGTTCTGTCTGCTGCTGTGGATGACAGGCACATAAGTGTATGGTAAGAGCTCAAGCATATTTCACCTTATTTTTAGTGTGGCTGTCTGTTGGGTTGAGGAGTGGCTGTCACAGTGCAGTTTTTCTTGTACTTGCTAAACGTATAATTTTTTTCTTCTCATCATTCAAGGGGAAGTACCAGTTTTGCTTGGTGTTATGTTGGGGAAAGGGGGTATTTAGAAGCTTTGATTTGAGCCAAAACTTAAATATTTTTAACCATGTGTATGCTTTTGCTAGGTTGTAATGTGTAATGGAGAATGCTCTAAACCAAATGGGCTGAGTTGGAAACAAACACTGACGTGCTCTAAATGCTTGGATATGAAAGGTCTTTAATGATAAAATCAAAAGAATCGGAAAGAAACAATTAAGATTATTTGGCCACATAAAAAGAATACACTTGAGAAATTGCTACTGTACGGAAAGGAAGAATGGAAGAAGAGCAGAGGAAGACAAGGAACTAAGTACACAGACGGCCTGAACGACTTTCGACAAACAACACAATCAGAAAAACAAAACTGATCAGGATTGACAACAGGAAGGAATTGGATACCATCATGATCATCACTGTGTGCTCCAGACCTGATGTCTGAAGAATAATGTGTTGCAAAATGCTTGTCGCATTTAAAGCCCAGGAATGTCCATAGCTTTTCCCATAATTTGAGCAATTTAATGTGAACTGAGTAGTCATTGTAAGAATACCTTGGGAGCAAGACAGCAGTAGAAAGACATCTTGTTGAAATCTCTCTTGAGGTGACGTTTCTGAGAAAATGGACGCCAAAGATTAGTTATTTCCTTAGCTTGAGAGTGCGTTGAAACTGAAAATGTACATTTTTTGTGCCTTTAGTCAATGTTTTTCAGTAAAACCCCTCACATTAATGGGCATGAAAGGTGTTGAGCCAAAAAATACAAATTCGATAAAAATTCACTAACCTGCAGAAAATGCAAGTTTCTTCACTTTGATTATTCTGGCAAGCGCCTGATTTCACCACACTGCCTCAAATTTACCTATAGTATGTTATACTCGTACTTCATTTTTACTAGTAGATAAGCTTTCTTTTTTTGTTGATTAAGTTAAAATGTGTACCTCTTAATAATACTCTGTGCACACCTTTGTTTTTCAGGTGTTGTGGCAGTTCTGTGAAGGAGAAAAATTCCATAGCTTCATTTTCAGTACCAGATGAACCAGTGTCTTTGTCCATGTCAAGGCCTTCTTCGGCTTCCCAGGTATGGACAGCGTGTGGTTTGTGCAGGACAAGAGTTGTTGCAGCGCATTTTCTTGTGATATATTATGTGTATTGAATTATGGTGTTCGTATGGTTTAAAAGGTTTTTGTTTAATCTGTTAAGTTCTCTGTTGGGACAGACTGAGACCCGTGATCAAAATCTGTTACAGACTTAAGATGCCCTGTGAAAAAACACATATGTGTCACGACGCAGTGGAACCCAGCTGTTGGCAATGTTTGGACATGTGGAGTTATTGGTATCGTTTTAAAGCTTGTTCATTTTTGTCTTGCTTTCGGTAGAAAAAATACTCATCTATCATGTTTTTCTTACAGTTTTTTTTTCCTGGTCTTGTTTACTCGTACAAGTTTTTACAATGAATGATGAATAATCTTCTCCTATGACTTGTTTTCTGGTCTTGTTTACTCGGTACAAGTTTTTACAATGAATGATGAATAATCTTCTCCTATGACTTGTTTTCCTCAGGCCTTGGTACTTGCGGTGATAACTCGGAAAGGCACATTGCACATTTTTGAACAGACCTTAAATGGGTAAGATGAAAGTCACTTTGCATTGGCCCACTATATTATTGTTGTCTTTAATTTGAAGTGGGAAAGGGGGGGTTCACATGATATCAAGGGATGCACAATTTTTGAGAGCTTTTTAAAACATTTTGCATGTGGATAAAAACTAATTTGGTCCCCCCCCCTCCCGAAGTTTGAGAAATTTAATTTCATGTTGATGGCACTTCTAAAATGGATTCAGTGGGAAATGGCTTATACCAATGCATGCTGAATATGAATTATATATCGGTACATTGTTCTTGGCTGTTTATTTAGAGTTTTTATAATTTTTGGTTTTAATTTTTAATATTCAATCACACAAAATTTTGGAGCATACATAAATTATTTTTGTGCATTTCATAATCTGTCTCCAGGAAAAAGAAGAAACCAATAGTAAGCAGGGTCCGTGTGAAGGGAGCATTATCTGACAGCGGTGGTGAGGGAGAGGATGAAACAACAGTACCAGTGCTGGCATCTTTAGTTCAATCTGGAACTGTTTCTGTTGCCCTTGGCAATCCAGTGAAGCCTCAGTTTGAAAAAGTGGTAAGTTTTGCGAATCTTATTACAATAGAAGTAAAGTATAATTCCCCCACCCACTACGTCTTCATGCATTACAACAAACACAGTCTGCTGCTGTTTCCTCTTCCTGTAAGAAATTGCTGCAACTCCATTGCCCCTCCCCCTCCCCCCACAGTGACATTGAATTCTGCGCACCAGGTCAAGCAGTTCAAAATAGGGGGCTCTGCTTTACTTGTACCCTTTTTCCTGTTGCATTTACATCCCTCTTTTCTGTTCTTTGAAAAGGGTGGGTGTTACTTAAAGGAGTAACTCTATTCCTTTCCGAGCTGAAGGTCTTCTCAATCTGACCGCTCATACTTATACATTAGCCACCACTTGTTTATGTTTTTAAATTAGCTGAAATTATGAGCACCAACTTCTTACAAGAAGGGGCAAAGTTTCTTGTTGCCTTTTGTGTTTTGTGGATCAGGATTTTTTAAAATGAAAATCTTAGTTTTTGCTCAACTTCTCCTTTCACCAAGTACTTTCCTTTTCTTTCTTTAGGTGTACGACACCTCAAAGCCGGAAGTTGTCATCAAGATTCAGACACCTAGCAAAACTCTTGCTAAGGAGGAGTATTCACAGGTATGCAGTTTTTTAATCTGATATACCACACTTTGTCTCTCTTACCATTTTTAAATATTTTTTTTACTGCAGTGTGTTTCAAGTTTTTGCTATATATAATAATAATATGAGAGATAACATAATATACTGTTAAATCGACTTGAGTACTTTTGATTTGAGTAGAACCATTGTTCTCCTGTCAAGGGATCTAGATTAAAAGTTTTTTGGGTTGTTTTTTTTTAAAGTATTTTTTTTTTCATAATATCTTTTCAAGTTTGTCTCTTTCAACATTGTGTGCAATTCAGTTGTTTAATTTGTCATTCTTTTATTTATTTTCTGTCATGTGTTGCTTTTTATAATGCATTGAGTTTTTTAAAATATGCATGTTCTTTTTTTTAATAAATCAAAAGGTGAAACGTCCAGAGATTTCTGAACATATGACTACCCTTCGACCAGCTGACTCCCAACCAATGCAAGCTAGCAAAAACAAAGACAAGAAGAGGTTAAGGCGGTCATCAGTGTCTGATGTAAGATTTTATACTTCTCTGTATTTAGAGGGGGTGCTTTGCTATCTTTCAGTGTTTACTGTCTTTTGATTTTATGGGTTGAGGCGCGTAAATAGAGGTTTATGAGCTATTGTTGAATCATGTGAAATGGGCAAGCTAGTGTTGAATTATATTTGCAAGTCTTCTGTCGTTTGGAAATCAGTGAGGGCAAAAGCCTTGTCTTGTGGGTTATTAGCCAGAGGAGGCAAATATATGTGTCTTGTGTCTCATTGAAATGAATTTTGTTTTTCTAAAGGTTGGTACAGCGTGCAAATGAAAAGATATGTTAAGCCAGATAGCTGTGTATTAAGATAAGTTACGATGAGTGGGATAAATGATGTCATGGCTTAAAAGGTTGTTGTTCTGTCTTTGAAACAAACAGACTGAGCCTCATTACATGTGTGCTTCTTGTGTCTGGGATATGGGAGAGGTGGAAGTAATTCTCCATTCACTTTGTCATTACATTTATTATATGGGGGTTGAGGGGTTCTTTCATTCTTATGTATAATGACAATGTTCATCAATGTAGAATCTTATCAGTTGCATTTCAAGAGAGAATAATGATAATCTTTATTTTGTGTTCTGGAAGTCCGGGACTGTCCTTGTCACTTACTTTCCTTGTGTTTCATTTTTTGCCTGTCTTAAGAGTTGGTAGGCAGTGAATATTATGACTATTATTAGAATGATATTTGAGATCCCACAAAATACAAATGGGAAAAAAGAAAGACATTCAGAGAAAACCGAAAGTCTCAAAGAAATTGCCTCTGCAAAGTCTGTGAATTGGTTACTAATTCACCAAAAGCCCAAAATTGATACTGTTTCGTTTTTCACTTAAAAATTTTGATTTGACTCAAGAAAAGTAGTACAGTTGTAATAAACTCTGGATTTTGCAATATGCTTTTTATAATTTATGTTCCTTTTACTTCTCCAGTTGACTGTTGAAGAGCGCCTTAATGCAATGGGAACTGAAACACCATCTGTTGATGGCCCTGTGAAACAACCACCAGTAGCGAATACCCTTTGCAGATTACTGCAGCAGGGTTTGCTCTCTGGGGATCGCAAGATCTTAACGGTAGGCCATACTTGTGATTGATTGTTTTATTTTCTGAAAATGAAAATGTGTATTGAGGTCAAGTTGCCTGTGTTGCAATGCTCTGTATGCTTTCTGGGAAGCTGAGATTATTTTTGAGTGTTCTGTGGTCTGCTTGGGTAATAGTATAGTGCAAAGCGCATAGAGCTTGCCGTTCAGCAGGGGTATGCGCTGTACAAATGCTATTCATTATTATTATTATTATAAATTGTAGCTGTGGGTAAATGCCTTATCACATGCACAACACCAAAGCAATCTTGATGTTATTTATTTCGTTGTTACGTACATGTAAACTGATATTGGGCGTCCCTGATTTTGTGTAGAAAAATTTTTACCATGCCTGTTAACCTAATGAACTTCAACATACGCCTGAGCAAGTAAGGGGTATGCAACAGTAGAATGAGGTCATTGTTACCTATAAAACTCAATTGTTGGAAAGAGACGCCCAGTGCCCAAATTCAAAGAAATGCTTACATGCATCTTCCCTAACTGAAGAAATAACTGAAGTTCTGGTGATTGTGTTACTAAAATATTAATTCTGGAACAGAAAAGAACTGTATAAGAGATGGATGTTTGTATATTGTTGTATTGTTTTATTCACCTTCTTTTTTTCTTTGCTATTGTCAGGGTGTTTTTCAAGAAACAAATGAAACTATCGTGAGAAATACTATCAAGCGCCTCCCAGTTTCATGCATTGTTCCTCTCATAAAGGAAATTGAAAGAGGCATGCATGGACACGCACAACAGTAAGTATGTTTTTGGTGTTTTCGGTTTAAAGTTCAAAATTGTCCCAGGGTTAAGCAATGACATAAATTAGTCATTTGTAAGACAAAACAGTAATTTAAATTAGAAAAATGTGCCTGTTCCGAAATTACTTCTTTGCACAGAAACAAATAATTCTCAGTTATATTTGGTTTGTTATATAAATGTACATGAGACCTTGCCATTGCATAATGTCCCTGTTTTCTTGTAATTGCAATTGATTCTTTCCCCCCTCCCTTTTTTTTTCTCCAAAATTATTACATGTTGACCCTGATGTGGGTATAAATTTGGATTTATTTTTTTTTGTATTTGAATGGCAGTTCAACAGTACTCGCTTTTAGCTTTTCCTTTGAAATGATTGCATTCTTGGGGTTTTAAATGTAAAACTGCTTCAAACAGATTATAGTTTGATGCAATTTGGGTGCTTTGTCTTAGGGCGGAGGTCTGTTGTATTCTTAATTCTGTCAAAATATTTGCAGTTTCTTTTGTTTTGCTCTCACCTGTTTCTCTGCGTTAATGTATTTGCTTTTTTTGTGTGTTTTAATTGTAACTAGACAGTCATACTAATTTTCCTTATTTTTCTCCTTTCTCTACATTCCAGTGCATGTAGTTTGAGCAGGTGGACGTCAGCTCTAATTTCTTGTCACACATCCTACATACTGTCTGTAAGTATTTTGTTATCGTGTTGAATAGTATTTTGTGCTGTCCTCATCTGGTTTTGTAATTTTGTTCTTTGAAGAGTGGGGGGAAGCTTACATTTGCTTAAAGTATGGTAGCAGATTGCCCTATTATGAAGTAAATACACACAAAGTATAGTTTGTCACTTCAGAGAACGAGTTCACCGCCTCAGAAAATCCCATTCAGTTTTTTGACTGGGCTTGAAACTTGCTTATTATATACTGAAGTCAATAAACCTGACTTTGAAGTTTATTGAACCCAAGTATTCATAATGAGAAAAGTTGTGAGCAATTTTAGAAATCAATAACGATACAGACTTTAGATTTGAATTTGTCACGGTTTGAGTATATACAGTGGAACTCGGAGTCAACGAGGTCGCCGGGCCTGACCTAAAATCTCGTTGAATCCGAGTGTTCGTTATAACAAACATGAGTTTTTGCGTAGATAATTACAGGCACTAAGCAAGTAATGTATAAAGAGAAGTCACAAGTAGTGCCTGAAATGCCTGCCTATTATGAGCTGTGTAAAAAAAGACCGATTTATTCAAATGCACACGCCCGAGTCATCTTGATTGTTTGCCAAAAAGTTGTGTTGATGTGTAGAGCCTACGATACGGCAACTTTTGATTCCATAGACCAGCGCACAATTCATTACGTAGGTCTACGTCAAGACTAGCTTATCATTGTAATAGTGATCAGTTGCAGAGGGAAAAAAAGACTGACGTGTTTGTATCTGCGACGTTCAACGCCCGGACTGCCAGTGCCCCCCCCCTTCCACGACACCCACACACAGCCATATGGGTGCAGGCTGCCCATCCGACTCCGACACACACCAGGGTAGACACGTGCGCGTGCCAACAACGCATGTGTTTGTATGAAAAAAGGCCGCTGATTGGTCGCATGCAATCGGTTAAGTGAATAATGGTCCACAATGCAGGTGCAATTGATGGTTTCCGGGAATAGATAAAGTTCGTTCTGGGAGAAAAATAAGCGAGGCCATGTCTGCGGGGGCTGTTCACCCTGGAAGCGACCTCGTTGAATCCAAGGTCACTGATTTAAGTGCTCGTTGAATCCGCATTATTTTTATTAATTTTAAAGAGAGAAAAAACGGGGAATCTATCTGATCTCGTTGAATCCGAGTTCCACTGTAGAGAAGATGTGTTGGTGTTAAAGAAGGTTATTTGATTGATATTGATAAGTAAAAAAGAATGGGGAATCCTTTTCTTTTGTTGAGTCCAAGCTTTCGTTGTACCGTATCTGAGTTTCACTGTGCATATATTTATTGAGGAAAAAATTATCAAACTTGCGAATATAACGAAATATTGATTGTTGCCCTGAAATAATTGCAGTATTTTGCTTTCAGCAATCTGTCATAACTATGATAAATGAGGCGACTAACACCAGTTGGTATTGTTTTACTGAGCTTGGTACTTTTGAGATGTTTCTTCAGATTTACCCACTGTTGACTAAGGCCCTTGCCAGAGAGCTGCTTCCCAGGAACTGGGCATTTTTTCTGTGCTCCAGCAAATGGACCAGCAAACTGGGATAGCCTCTGTAAAACGCTTGTAGCTCTGTTATTTTGGATTGAACCCTCATAAAGTATATATATTTTTATAAAGGGAAATTATCAAAGGGAATTATCAATAGATCCATCCACCTCCACATCACTCCCTTCGCTAAACTCTCCATTCTCAATGTTGTTTTCCTTTCAAGTATCGCCATGAAAAGATTCCATTGCGAAACTGCATTTTGCGCAAAGATTCTGGCAAACGAAGTGAAACAGTCTGTCAGCGTGAAACGCACTTGACGAAATGGGAGGAAGTGAAAGAACTTTCTTGTTTACGGCTGTGACAAAAAGTAAAGCTGTGCTCGTGCGCAGGTCTCTTTTCAGTATTGTTTTTAGTAATTTCATCAGCCCTCAGTGGTTTCCGGTGCTAATTATAGACACTTTCGGTTGTTTTAGAACGAGCCAATGAGAGCACGTGTTACTCTCGTACCCTGGGCAGCTTTCCTCTGTAATAGGAAATTGATGAGTTATATTACGATGACTTTTGAACTCTTATGACGGGCAGTACCAAACATGATAGGGTAGGCGGCATTGAAACGCACGTAACCAAGGCCCGAAAATTGGCAAGATTCACTGTTCAGAGGTGCTAACGGCCTCTGATTTTTTACGGTAGTCTATAATAAAGCTTCTAACACAATAATGATTCCTATTTTCAATCTTGACTTTGATTGATAGTATTCCTAAATGGATGAGGTACCCATTATGTAACAGACCTAGTCCATCGGTGGCAGAGCAAAACAAAGCCATGGGTAGATAATACATTTCCCGTCAAGAAAGGATAACTACACATAGATGTGTTTGCCTGGTATCTATGGGTTCATTAACATGAGATGATTTGAAAGTGAGGTCATGTTTTGTTTTTAAATGTCTTGTGTTAAATTTTGTGTCTTTTACAGGTTCCAGAGATCATCAACACAATGAACTCACTGTATCAGACGTTGATATCACGACAAAAGTTCTTTCCGAAAATGCTGCAATTGAAAGGGCGTTTGGAACTTGTCAAGCAAAAGGTAAAACTGAAATAAAATTTTCTCTTCTTCCTTAGTCCAACAAGAATTAAGATTCAACTGCCTCTCGTTTTACTTTTGTATTTTAAAAAAATAAATTTTTTTAATGGATGAACAAAGAGACACCCTTTTCTGCCACCCCTGTAAATAAATTGTTCTGCCTAAGGATGAGTAGATGTATATGAAGGCTATTATTACAAAATGGTCTATATGCATGTTTGTTTAATTTGAGAAAAACAACTGAAAACATCACTCAAACTTTTTTTGCTGGTGCACATAAGGAGTCCTTGATGGCCTCTTTAACATACCAAACTATGGAAATCTCAAGTCATTAAGTATTGACAGTTGAGATCCAATTATTACTTTTTTTCACAAATGCCGTAAAAAGCTTTTTATGCTTTTTGTTGTTTTTTCCCCCACAAAATTATGTTTTTTAAAGTTCCAAAAAGCTTTTGATGGCTTCCTGCTAATAGTTGGACACACAAAGGTGATCAAAATGTTTGAAGACCATATAAGATGGTGAAGACAGTTTTGGCTTAGTAGTTGGTAACTAAACATTTCATTCCAGGGGTCAGGGTTCAAACCTTCACATGTTTAATCCCAAAATACAGACTTTACTTGTCTTGAACATGACTTAGCTCATGTTTACTCAGTGGTAGAGTGACTTAGCTCATGTTTACTCAGTGGTAGAGTGACTTAGCTCATGTTTACTCAGTGGTAGAGTGACTTAGGTCATGTTTACTCAGTGGTAGAGTAAGAGACAGAAACGTTCACTATATTTGACTTTGATCTGTTGGCCCTTTCATGAAGAAAGTTGTCTTGGTATCATTGACTGCTTTTTATTACACTAAAACTAATCTTGACGATCAGATACCAAGAGAGGACACAATTTTATACTCTTTCTCCCTCTCCTTCTCCCCCTCTCCTTGTTACACAATCATTCATGGGTGCACACACGCACTCACACACTCTAGCGAGTCTGGTGTTGGAAGCAAAGGGGAAGAATCCCCTCCTGGGAGTGCAATGTGAGCGTGTTGGTTTCCTTGTTTTTTTTTCATTTGTTGTATTGCCTATAATGTGTTTTGTGAAAACTAGGTTAGAGTGTATAACATGTTTTATGAAAAGAAGCGGCAAAAATAAGTGTTATGATAAAAGTCTTGAGTAAAATGTTTTTTTTACCATAGAAGATGCAATTCTACCGACCTGTTTGAAAACATGGATTTTTGCACATAACTTGTTTCGTGATGAAGCTCTTCGTATTCAGATGTTGTTTTTGTTCTGGTACAAATTGATGTATCTGTATTTTGTATTATTTTTTTTTTTTAGGCTTGGTCCACCGACAATGAAGAAGAGGCAGAGGTTGCTCCACTTTTGGTTCATCAGGATGGTGAGTTTTGTATTGTGTTACATACATTTCAGTACCAAAACCCAACTTCAGGTTGGACTGGCTCAATTGATTTTTCAGTTTACCACGCTGCCTGGAAAATCCTAGCACACAGCTAGTCATGTTGAGAGACAACAACCTGCGTATGGGATGTGTGGTGTGAAAAGACGAAACAGTTTTGCTTATTTTAGTTTTTGTGCCTTTCTTGCCTTCTGTAAAAAGATTTTGAAGTTTTATTAGGACATAGATGAGTAATTTATTGTGGTATATGTTCAAGTCTTTATCAGCTTTGCTATTGCCTTGGTATTAAAATTTGTCTCATTGGTTCCTAATGTGTATTTTTATGTCAAGGGAAAAATTCAATGGAAACACACTTGTTTTTTCTCAATTGATGAAGATGCACTGTTTCTATAATTTGTTTGAGTTTTTGTATCACTTTAGAAGGTGAGCACAATTGTTTTAAATCATGTTTTTTCTTTTTTTTTCTTTCCCAGAGTCAGATTCGGAAGACAGTGATAGCATGGTGATTGATGGTGCTGCATTAGAATCGGATGTAAGTATAATTGATAAAAGGTGTTAATTCTGCTCAAGCTGATTTAATTTTATGTGCAACTGAACCCACCACGTTTTGATATAAGAAAGGGCTACACTGCCGTAAACTGACAAAACGCCTGTTTTTTCATTTTGGCACCAAATTTTTTATATTTGCCAAATCGAAAGCCTGATTATTATCCTACTTGAGTGGAAAAAATCAAAGTGAAACTGTTTCAGGGTTTTGAATAAATTCTAATTTAATTCAAATTTCGGAAGAACACCTTTTTTAAATGGTTATGCTGACAAAAAAAAGCCTGCTGCAAATTTTTTTAAAGGCGTTTTGTCAGCGTACAGCAGTACAGTTCTTTTTCTTCATGGTGGGATTGCATCAACTTGGTATTCTTTTCTCTCAAGGGAAATTACTTTCTCATGGCAGATATCTTTTACTTATAAATAATCCAGTCTCAAAAACAGAGACTTTTAGCCAGGGATTAACGTTTTCCGGCTACTTGTACTCATCCGTGGGCCTCCCTTCTGCTACACCGACTGGGCAAGTCTTCCATAGCGGGCGACATGATAGTAAATTTTATTTCGCCGACGTGCAACAAATTTCTGGTTTTACACCAAAAAATCTGCCGATGGCCAACATCAGTGCTTTTGGTAGGGCTGTATATTATTCATTAAAAAACAACTGAATAAATAGGCACCTAGTATTTAAAAAATCCGAATAACCGAGAGAAAAAAACCGAGTCAGAAACTATGTACCTAGTAAAAAGCCAATGTGCCATGCTCCCCATCTGGAATTGTTCCAAGTCACTAAATCCTTATATAGCTGCTTCCTCCTCCCAGACCACAATCCCTTGTATGAGACTTCACAGCTGGAAGCACAAGATGTCTCTGACACTTCTTTTCATGTCAAAGATCTTCACGTGTGTGTGGGAAACTCTGCCTACCCCATTCTTCAGGCCATGTGGAATTTACTAGCAACTTTTCAGACTATCCTTTCTCTAACAAAAGAATTTTCAGGCTCACCTGTCTCTTGTCACTTTCATCCATGCTATAAAGCTCACAGAATTCCGGGAAGTGCATACATTTGCCAGTAGCAGTCATACACCTGAAACTACTTTCATTTTTCATCAATCGTTTAATACGAATTTGATCAGAATCTGGTTTAGGCTGTAAAGAACATCTCTCAAGACGGGTATTTTTTGTGGGTTTCTTTTTCTTCTGTCATACTTTCCGTCCTTCATGTCTGCAGTATTACGCGGGCAGTATTGCGTATAGACGTATCTCAAAGCTTGCCAAAAATGGCTTAAAGTCTGTATGCAATACTACCCGCGATTAGTTTTTCTTTATTAGTTTTGAATGTGTTTATTATTATATTATGCATGCATTTGAAAGAATATTGGCTTATATGCATGAAATGTTGATTTTAATGGCATATTATTGTAAAGCACCGAGCGCCACCAGGGAGTGGGCACTGTAAAGGTGATCTCTATTATTAATGGGTGTTAGGTTTTATTATTTTGTTGTCTACAAAATGTTTCTGCTGTTTTACTCATGTAGGATTGATTTTCTGTCTTTTTCAGGAGAACTGGGACGATTTGTCTGATATGGAATAGTTAACAACTTGTACAGTGTCCTTTGTACCGTGTGCCTGAGCAATGTGTGAACATGATCTTTGATGTGACAGGTGGTTGCTCTTGAATGATCGAGTGTTCAGATTTTCATTGATAGTATGTAGGTTGAAAAGAATTCTGTCGTGATTACTTGATGACATGGATATTTGGTGGGCGCTCTGATGTGGTTTGCTCCTTCTTCCTATCAAACACTTATCTTCCTTATCTCTCCTTTTTTTGTAGGTTACTCTCTTGTAACACCTCCAATCTTCGGATGTTACTCTACTCTCTAGTAACACTTCTAATCTTCAGGACTTTTATGACTTATTTTTATTGCAAGTGTTGAAAACTTTTACTAAAACTAATTGGATGATGTACCAAAAAAAAAAGCAGGGCTCATTACTTCCTATTCGTTCAGTTATTAATTTGCATGAAGCTGTGGAAAGAGAGATAGTTTGCCTGTGAATGCTGTTGTGTTTATTGAGAGTGGTTGTGAGAGTGGACTGGGTGACAAAATAATGGTATGGTATTTTTCACTGATACGCTTATCAATGTCCATAAGGAAAGCTCTCATATTGTAAGAACGCTATGAGTATGAGATGGTTATGTCATAAAATTTGGCTTTGCATTTTCGTGTATTTTTGGACCATGCTATGTTTGGATTTGGTGAATGAATAATTTGTCCACAGGCTGAGACGATTGTCGTTTTAGGATATTTACATTATTGGCCTCATTAAGAATGGCATACTTGTATATGTATATAAATCAGTGCTTGTCGACTTTTTCATTGCCGCAGCCCTCTTTTGTTACCTTTAGCTTGGTAAATTTTAAGGCCCTTGCTATTTTTAAGGTCGTATGAGCGTAATTTGCTTCCTTTTAGAGGCTAACATTTTTATAATTTCCAAAAAGGGTGTAAACATCTGTCACTACTTGGGTGACCCCCACTGTCCACCAAAGTAACCGAAATGTTCGCTTGTGGGCGATATCACCCAGGTGGTTGGCAAGCACTGATATAGATGAAAGGTACACAAAGTTTCAAAACTAGTGATTGGGTTGATTGAATGGTCTGCTGCCATCACACCGCGCAATTGATTGGTTGAAGAAAAGGATACCAGAGTACTGATGGGCTCGATTTAGGAAAGATATATGCAATGCATTTGATATTGGAGTAGGGGTTATCATTTTTATTTATTTTTTGTAGTTCAGTGAGATTGGCAGGTGTGTATCTTTTAATTTTACAGGAATGCCCATTGATTTGTAGGAATGTCTATTGACAGATAAAAGCAGAATTAAAAGGAACTGGGACTGGAGGGGGGGGGGGGATGAAGAAGGAAGAAATAGGTATATGGGTTATGTGCATTGCAGGCAAGGATCTCATGCCATATAATACGCACTCAGTGTCAGTCTTGGGTAGTAAATGGGTTGCTGCGTATACAGATGTGTTTGTAAGGGCTGCATTTGTGATTTAAGCGCCTTTTAAGGAGACACATTATGTTCTAGAAGATCAGAAAATGGGGATTCTTTTCTAAAAGATTCACTAATGGTCAGTCTGGTTTACTGTATACATCATGGTTTTACTTCATTTTCAACTCTGTTGTCTTAAGTCTTTTTATCTTCATGCTTGCATGACCCATCAGTGCCATAAAAGTTCTATTTTCGGTTTTTAATAAATTGCCGAAATTTCTAAATGGTATTGAGAAAAAAGGATGACGTGCAAACTTCCGAAATTGTGTACATAAGTTTTGTACTTTTTTGCATGTGGGTTTTGATTATTATTATTTTTTCGTCAATGCGATGTATGTGGCAACTTGTCTTCACAAAGCCTATTCTATTCTTAGCACATACTTGTGCACCATCACATAAGTGTTTCTTTTATCATCTGTTGTAGATAGGTATTTTGAAATTGTTCCGGTAAATGGGAGTACTATTTTGTCTGTTATAACTCTAGAAATACTTTCATCTGCTTTGATTGAGGTTCAGAGCACAATACAGAAGATAGTTTTAAATTGCACAAGGGGGGGGGGGGGTACATTCTTGACATGAAGAGATAAAACAGTATAACTCGGCTAGCTCGAATTCGTCAGGACCTGCCTCGGTAGTTTGAGGGATCCGTAGTTCGAGGGATATCTTGCTTATCTTACACACAGATAAAGAAGAAGAAAAAGCGGGACAGCAGGCACAGATCGACGGATGCGTGATTTTGAGTCTTCTGTGTTCGACCTATCTATGTTGTAGGCCTACTATACTGACTATACTGTATTCTGCTCCTGAGCATTCTCTGTATTAGGGTGAAGTCAAAGGCAGAACACTGTGATACTAATACACATGTAGGCCTACCTTTTAACATGTCATCCATCTGTACTTTCAAGCACTTGGCTTGCTTGTCTTTTCTTTTCTTTCTTTTATTTCCGAGGCGTTATGCTCACAGTGCTACTTTTCCTTAGTTCATTCTCCGAAGAGCGCCATTGTAAGAGTTGTAAAAAGATAAATAAATTGTATCCGGTAGATCTGTCTTTTTCCTTTTACGTATCAAATTTGTAATAATCTGTTCACTGGTCATTCTGAGTGTGTTGTACGAGTGCATGTGTGTGACAAAGGAACCCGTGTGTTTAGAAAATACTATAATATGTAGTACAGTCGAGCCTGGGCTACATAATGCAGAGCTTCTCTCTTTTGTTGATGGATAGTTTTATTGCTCTGTATCTGTTATTTTTGTCTGTAAACCAAACTATCACATGCAAGGGATGTTATTTTAAATGAAAAATTAAAATGACTATGAAAATTACTGTCTTCTGACTTCGCGTTTTGTTTGTATGGTGTGTTAATTTTTATTCATGTCCCTTAATCACTCTGAAGAGGTTTTATCACAGGTTATCTAGATTATATTTTCCTTCTTGTTGTCAATTTTTGACAGCTTTTGTTCATTCTTACAGGACTTTGTTGGCTTTTTGTGTACTGTATCCTGAAGAATACGAACTATGAGTTGGCTCCCTCTACACATCTAGGGGGCTCTTGCAGTCTAGAGGTACAGTGTTCGCCTCTCATTTAATAGGTCTTGGGTTCATAACGTGACAGCGACGGGACATTTTTCTCCTATCAGAAACAAATAAAATTTCACCTTTCCTGCTCTCTAATTGTACTCTGTAGTCTGCTTTCATCTCCTCTTTCTACTGCTACCCCTTTGTTTCTTACTGCTGTCTTTCACTGAAAGGTTCAGTCACATCCCAGATCTTAGACCTAACGCCTAGCTTTCTCAGGTAATGGCGATACATGTACATCGCGGTGGTCCCTTTTACAAGTTGCAGGTTGAAGATCCCTTGGTGGTCCTAAAATCGATGATACCGGTCAAGGCAGGCTTTGGCCGCCACCCGGGCAAAATTCAAAATTAATTCCTACCATGCTCAAAATACGTGTTGTGTATATAATTATAATCACGAGCACCGTAAAACACTTTTGGAAAAAACGAGAAAAAACAAACAAACACAAAACACCCCCTCCCTCTACACGGGTATGGTTAGCGTTGAGAAAAGCGAAAGTGCTGAAATAATATCTATAACGTGTACGCAAAAAAGAAACACGCACACACATTCATAAACACACACACAAAATAAAAGAAAATTTGGTAAAATGCTAGCACCTGTGGTAAAACTAAAACACAATACTTTGTTAGTTATTACAATTACAACTAGGATGCATAAAAACTAAATCATGTATCATATATGTAACCAATACTGAGAGTGTAACGAACACCGCTCTAGTTTTCAAAACAGTAGCAGGACATGGAAATAAAAATTGCTTCCAGATTGTCAGAACACATATGGTATAGTTTTGGATAGAGACTAGCCTGATGAAAAACCATATAAAAAAATGCCAACACCTGTGGTAAAGCAACAAAATGTGTTGGTTATTAAAACTAAGCATACATAGACACTAATAGATTATAACTAATATAACCTATACTGAAAGTGCTACGCCCGCCCGCACAAAGTTTGAAAACAATAGCAGGACATGGAACAAAAGATGCCTCCAGTTTATCAGAACATATAGTTTAGGATATTATTTTTATAGTTTAGCCTTACCTAAAATGGAGGAAAGGTAAGTAACTGTGATAAAACGCAATAATGTGTTGGTTGCTACTAAAAGTTATCCTTTTTGTAGCAACCAACACATTATTGCTTAAGAGCTAATACATTATGACCAATACTGAGTGTGTAACGACCGACCGCACATGTTTTCAAAACAATAGCCGGACATGGAAATAAAGATGCTTCCAGCTTATCAGAACACATACAGGTTTGAATAAAGTAAAGATTAGCCTGACCAAAAAGCGGATAAATAGCTAGCTAGCAGCTCTTCTAAAACACAATAATATGTTGGTTATTACAACTAGGCTTGTACAAAAACTAATGGATTATAAGCTATAATAATACTGAAAGTGTAACGACCGACGACACAAGGTCATGTATTTAAAACAGTAGCACGACATGGAAATGAAAAAGCTTCCAACTTATCATAACACATATAGGTTTGGATACAAAATTAGCCAAACCAAAAAGCAGATATAATGCCAGCAGCTCTGGTATAACACAATAAGATGTTGATTATTACAAATAGGCATGCAAAAAAATAAAAAATCTAAGAGATTAAATGAAATATGGGGGGGGGGCTACTGAAAGTGTAACGACAGACCGTACAAGTTTCCAAAACAATTGTGGGACATGGAAATAAAGATGCTTCCAGCTTACCAGAAGAGCTACTATAGTTTTGGATAGTTTAGCCTGGCCAAGATGCCTCTATAAATTATAAAACGCTAACACATGTGGTAAAACACAGTAATGTTTTGGTTATAATAACTAAGCAATCACAAAAACTAATAGATTATTTAAAAAATAACTGAGAGGGTAACGACCGACCGCTCAAGTTTTCAAAATAGTAGCAGGACATGGAAACAAAATAAATGGTTCCAGCTTATCAGAACTCAGTTTTGGATAGAGTTTAGCCTGACCTAAAGATCGGATAAAATGTCAACACCTTTGGTAAAACAAAATAATGCGTTGTTATTAAAATTAGGCATACACAAACACTAATAAATTATAACCCATACCGAGAGTGTAACGAACGACCTCACAAGATTCCAAAACAATAACAGGACATGAAAATAAAGATGCTTCCAGCTTATCAAAACACATACATATAGTTTTGGATAGAATTTAGCCTGACCAAAACAGAATAATAATAAGTAATAATACGTACATTGCATTTATTTATATAGCGCATTTCCACAAAGAAGTGCTCAATGCGCTGTACAATACATTGTAATACAAAGAGCATATGCAATGCAGCGCACATCTCCTATAGTAATCCTCTCTCGCCCCCCCCCCTCTCTCTCTCTCCCTCCCGCCCCCCGTCTCCACCCCCCCTCTCTCTCTCTCTCTCTCTCTCTCTCTCTCTCTCTCTCTCTCTCTCTCTCTCTCTCTCCAGTATATCCTTAAGTTAAGGACAATCCCAAAAAGACTTACCCAGACACCCTCGTACACATTGATGACATCACACAGTCATAAATTGTTATAGAACAGAACAAGATGAACAAACGATATCGAGAGAACACAATAGATACTGAGAGAACATTGGGAATCTCGGAAATTACAGATTGAAGCTGGACTGAAACATCATGCGTTTTAAGTGCTGATTCGAATTTTGTTAAAGTGGTGGACTCCTGTACCTTACATGAGTTGCGAAGCGTTTCACAGGGAGGGGACGTGGTGTGAAAAGGCTCTCCCTCCGAGTCTCTGACTTTTGCATTGGGCAGGTCTTAAAAGTCTTTTTTATTCGCCGATCTTAAAGGCTGAGATGCGATCTATTCGATGACCATGTCACAAAGATATAATGGTGCAGCAATGTTGTTGACGCACTTAAAACAAAGAACAATTATTTTTTACTGAATTTGTGCTTTCACCTGGAGCCAATGTAGTTGAATTAATATTGGTGTCAGATACTCTTTGAGAGATTTCTTTAAAATTATGCGAGCAGCTTGGTTCTGGAGTCGCTGTAATATATTTAACGTTTCAGTGGGAAGGTTTCAAAAAAAAAAAAAAAGAATTGCAGTAGTCTAGATGGGAAATGACAAAAGAAGAAAAAAGGCTAGCAACGGTGGTAAAACGCAATAATGTGTTGGTTGCTACAAATAGTTATGTATAAAAGCTAATACATTATTAATCAATACTGAGAGTGTAACGACCGACCGTACAAGTTTTCAAAACAGTAGCAAAACATGAAAATAAAGATGATTTCAGATTTTTATAAAAGACATAAAATTGTAG